AAGTAAAATTTTCCGCATATAAACCAACATGTGCAATGGCATGTATATAGCATTAAATAAAGTTGGATTCATGGGAATAACAGTTTGATTCATGAATTATCTAACACTGTTGGATATAAGACAGTGAGAAAAAGCTTTTAAGCAATTCCTAAGAACCAAAATAGCAACAGTGAAAGGATGAGCTATTTTGGATCTCTGTATACCTCAGCCATAATGAGCGGGATTCACGCCCTGGTTTGCTCTTACAATAAGACCATAAGGTGTCGTAATCGTTCAAATTAATACTTTTGTCGCTGTTTTCAGTCCATTTTACGTCCTATATATTACTAGCTATATCAACGTAACGATACAGGGTGTCAGTACCTCCATTTCTTTAAAATTAAAAATCACACATTTATTCAAAGGTGCAACGTTGAAAGATTGAAGTTTACACTTATGTTATTCTGTACGAAACTATTCCCCAAAAAATTCGAGACAGCTTGACACTGGCGGATTCAACGAATTTATTAATTATTGTTTTACATCGTATCACCGCGACATAACAAGAACAGGTTTCGACTGACTCATTATGACTATTTAAATGCGAACTGCATTCTGAAAAATTTTATCAACTGATTATGCCAAATGTTAAATGTATTTTTAATTCTGAACTAGAAATTGAACTAACTTTGAGTTTCTTGATGCAAACATTTAACTCAACAGAGAACATTGAGAATTTCATTCGCGTCGACGAGGCCTTTTTAAGGCGGATGCAGAGCAACTTTGGAACTTGGAAGGTCTTATTCTACTCTCGATCTCCACCGTCCAAGTAATAGGCTGCCTCAATTTTTCCGCGTCAAAACAGTCATCCCCCCTTTTCACCAACAGATGATGGTCGGCTAAAAGTTTATTAATAGGTCTGCTAACTCCAAATTTACCAGCCGCTGCGGACAACAAAAAAAGCACCCGAAATTCTACCAAACTCATACCTTGAGGAAGGCAAGTGAAAAACGAGCCTAAAGGGGTATTTACCAATCATTCGAATGATTCTATTATGTTTTACGTCGTACATTAATAAATCTTGTCTTAATGCTGCTTTCCAAACACTATAACCGCATTTTACTGCTACTTCAGTTTACTGTACTTCGGCTCAAACTATGAATCAAAAGTCCAAAAATCATTCTGCTAAATCACCAGTAACAGTGGTTACGTCTGACAGACCCTTTGCCCCGCTCTGCCTTATCATCACAGGTCGCTGTTTCCTCACCGTTGCATTCACCAACAGACCTGGACGGAACCAAAGGGTCACTTCAGCAGCCATATCGATCATGAGCTGGTTTCATCCATGACGCTTAGGGCAAACGAAGTGCGGATATTGCAGATGAAAATTTCTTGGCGAAGACGAAACTCTGCCTTCGTTTGGTCACTACTGAAAGAATATCTCGAAGGAAAGGTGGGACGACTGCTTTGACACGGACAAATTGAAGGAACTTATCACTTACGAGTTGAAGATCTACAGCAGATTCGGTACAACAGACTCTAAGACCTGCCAAATCCAGAGTTGCTCTACATCCGTCTTAAAGAAGGCATCATCTCTGAGGCTGCAAAGACCATTGGTATCAGAAACAAAAAGACGAAGCGGTCTTGAGTCACGATGAAAACTTGAAAATTTCTTCAGCAAAGAAGTGCAGCGAAAATTATGTCCATATGTGAATCTGAAGTGACAAAGAAAGTAGCACACCACTCTCTCGTCAAAAAGAACAACTATATGTGGAGAGACCACGATGGCTACACCTAGAAGCGCAAAATCTTGCAGACATAGCGACGCAAAGGAACTGAAAATTCTATATGATCAGATGAAGATCATCACCAGCGGTGGCAAACAAAAGAATACCCATTCTACTATACGGCATGTCGAACAAGGCGCGGCAAGACGCCGATGGACATCGGAAACCATAAGTTGAGCACTCGCACCTCTTCAATAGGCCTGCTCCTCCGGTAAATCTCCAAATGAAAGAGGAATTTTGAAAAGAACTAGATGCTGGCTGCACCCCGCTATCGATCGAAAACAATCAAGAGGATATACTACTCTCT